AATGAAGGTCCTGCTGATACCAGTGAAAGGGACCACTGACACACATGGCTTTAGAGGCTTGTTTATCTCACTGACACCAATTCTGGGGACAATATGTATCATCCACTGACACCAATGCTGGGGACAATATGTATCATCCACTGACACCAATGCTGGGGACCAGGGCTGGCCTTAGGCCTTTAGGCGCCCTGTGCGAGAAAGCTTTACAGCGCCCCTCAGTGGCCACACCCTTTAGTGGCCACACCCTTTAGTGGCCACACCCTTTAGTGGCCACACCCCCGTACCCACACCCATTTTCCCCAATATCCGCACCAATTAAAGACTCCTATTTTGTTAAGCCGCAAAGAAACATATTAAAAAGTATGATAAAAATAAAACTTTTATTCAAAAGGTATTAAACCTGTAGGCACAATAGAAGTATTCTTATCAAATAAAACAACAGAAGGTAAACAATAAATGTCAAACTACAATAGAGTCTATAAAAATAAAGTGTCAGGATATCATGCCGATCCCTTTTTTCAAGTAAGTGCATCTAGAAAAGTCAAAATTAAAAACAGAACACAGACCCCAGGCTACATGTAAATTAATGAATTACTATATGTCCGAATATACGAGAAATGTATTCAGACACATAATAATAATTTGTTTGAGAATGTGCGGCGGCCATGTTGGCCACCAGCGTGTTCTGTGAATGCGTGCCACCATCTTGGAGGCAGAGAGCATGGCGTTATATGACGCCATGCATGCGTGGCGTCAGGTGACCTCACACGCCGATATTGGCCCCACCATCTTGGTGTATACCTAGACATACAACAAGATGGCGGCGCCCGACACGTGCGGTGTTATATGACGTTGTGCGCCCCGCCTCCAGAACGTTTAAATATTTACCATCAGCTGTTTCTGAATGGGGAGGAGCCTCTGTACTGAGTGCTTCTCCCCATTGGTGAAATCTTGAATGAACAGGCTGTGATGTAAATCACAGACTGCTCATTCATAACTGGGGACACAAAGTACTATGTGTCCCCAGTTATTTACAAACACTGGAGTGATCAGACGATCGCTCCAGTGTTTGTCCTTCTCACACGGAGGATCGGTAAATATCAATGATATTTATCGATCTCCCACTCTGCCACGCAGTGCGCAGAGCCGCCGTCATCCTGAAACTGTCAGGATGACAGCGGCTCCGATCTCCTCCCCGCTCGGCCATCCTGACAGCTGCGGGCGCGGCTTCTCTCCCCCTCACCTGAGAAGCCGCCCACAGGACGAGCTGTGACGGCCGCACGGCGCCCTTGTTGCCATGGCGCCCTGTGCGGCCACACGGCTCGCACACCCCTAAGGCCGGCCCTGCTGGGGACATTTTTATTATTTACTGACACCAATGCTGGGGACAACATGTATTATCCACTGACACCAATGCTGGGGACATTTTTATTATCCACTGACACCAATGCTGGGGACAGTTTTATTATCCACTAACACCAATGCTGGGGACATTTTAATTATCCACTGACACCAATGCTGGGGACAGTTTTATTATCCACTGACACCAATGCTGGGGACATTTTTATTAACCACTGACACCAATGCTGGAGACAATTTTATTATCCACTGACACCAATGCTGGGGACATTTTTATTAACCACTGACACCAATGCTGAGGTCATTTTTATTAACCACTGACACCAACGCTGGAGACATTTTTATTATCCACTGACTCCAATGGTGGAGACCTGTTCTCGCACAGCCTCCTGAGACCCTCCACAGCCCTCCTGAGACCCCACATAACCTCTTGAGACCCCGCACAACCCCCCTGAGACCCCGCACAGCCCACCTGAGACCCTGCACAGCCCATCTGAGACCCCGCACAGACCTGATGACAACCCACACAGCCCTTCCGAGACTCAGCACAGCCTCCCTGAGACCCTGCACAGCCCTGGTGAGACCCTGCACAGCCCTCCTGAGATATCAGACCAGCATCCCGGAGCAGCACAGAGCATGTAGCTTCATATTATTCTGTATTGCTGGGATTTGTAGTACTCTGTAGCTGGTGACATTCTGCATTGCTGTATAAGGTAGTGCTGGGATTTGTAGCCCCTCTACAGCTTGGAGTCAGTGGCTGGACTACCAGGGGTGCAGCGTTTGCAGCTGGGACAGGGCCCTGGTGCTCCACCACTGTCCTAAAATCATTAGTCTGTATTGTTTTAGAAAAACTCACATGACACTTAAAAAAAAGGTATTGGTATCAGCGAGTACTTGAGGAAAAGCATTGGTACTCGTTCCCGGACTTGAAAAAATGGTACCAGTACATCCCTACCTGACACAAATGCTGAGGACATTACCTCTTCCTCCTGTTGTCCTGCCGCTTTTCTCTCCTGCCCCATATGAGCAGATCTGTATCTCTAGAGGGACCTGGAGGAAACATCGAGGGCCCAATTACATTTGGGTGTTGCATGAATACACAAGTATTAATGTGCAGTCACGCATATGTTTCATTAAGGCAGCTCATCAAAATCAATGGGCCTGATATGTAGCAAAACGTCACAGATATCAGACATATCACAAAATGTTTGTCATAATGTACTATGATGTAATCCTATGCATGTGCGTTGCGTAAGTATGTTGGGGTGCTGTTCAAAAGTAATGGCACCGAAATGTGTCCACACATGTAACATGCGTTGCTGTAACACGTGCATTTCTTCTGTGCATAGGTGTAAATCGGTCCTGACCGAGCCTGAATATTGCACCTGATTGTGGGTACAATGCTCTGCACACTTTAATGCAAATAAGTATTAAATGTACATCAACTATAATACTGATGATTATTTATCACTTTTTTTTTTAAACCCCAAACCACGATCACACGTCAGCCAGGACCATTTTTCTTCCCATGTTTAGAAGTTGAGAGGTATGTACCGATCTATGGTTACAGACTATTTCATTACACAATGGGCTCTATAACGGGTGTCATACACCTCATTGCAATGTCACTTGATGCACCACACACGGAGAGGGGCTCAGATCGTTCACAGATCTGCTCAATGAGAATTCACGCATAAATTACAGACACATGAGTCTTATTGACCCTTATCGAGCCCCGTAGTCTACATGCTGGTTGTTGGTCTTTGCTTCCGGGGTCAGCTGACTGACAAAGTCCGTGGTGTCCAATGAGAAGCTTAGGGGGCGGGGCTGAAACTTAGATTTCATTATGGAGTTGAAGTATCGCAGTGTGCCCGGATTCAGGTACCGCAGAAGGGGGAGAGATGGGGGAGGGGATGTATTATTATAGTTACATTATGTATCGTGCAGCTACTGATAACATTGTTATATCTCACCACTGCATTGTGAATACGTTTAATCCATGGCTGACATGGGGTCATCATCACAACCAGGGATTTAGCATTTCTGGGAGATGCTACCGGTACTTATGGCAGCCTCATAGTCTACAGGTTTGCTTTAAAGGGTATCCATACATGTAAATAAGTGACCCACCACCACCACCATGCAGGCTAGCCTCATCCTCGGCTTAGGTCGGTGGGCAGCACAGCTCACACAGGGCAGAAGCTGGGCTTTGTCTGAACTCCATTTGCCCAAGCATTCTCAACCATATGACCACCACTCCATCCTCTCACTGACCCAATCACCCAGCAGCTATACAGTATGTCACAAAGGGGAAGGGAATGCCACCGCCGCAACTGATTGGGTTGAGGGAAGGAGGTGGTGGTCAGAGTTTTCAGTGGACTTGGGAGAACTCTGGGAAATCTGCCACCGAGATCAGCATCATCTCTACTCAGTACTTTGAGTCTTCAAACAAGTATGTAATCCAGAAGTTCTGCCTTTTATTTGCTACATGCTCATTCTGGGACATCGGCTGCAAGTATTGTAGGTATATTGGGTGACACTGGATCAATGAAACGGTGACACCCTATGGTGGTTAATCCTTTATTGTAGAGGTATCATTGGAAGGTTTCTTGTGGCGTGACCCATGTAGATGTTCATGGATGTAACATCTAAGTAGGTAAGTGAGGAGAGCCCGCAGTAGAGCTGTAAGGCTTCTTGTGGAGTGACCCATGTAGATGTGGCTATTTATCCTTTATTGTAGAAGTATCTTTGGAAGGCTTCTTGTGGAGTGACCCATGTAGATGTGGCTATTTATTCTTTATTGTAGAGGTGTCTTTGGAAGGCTTGTGGTGTGACCCATGTGGATGTTCATGGATGTAAGATCTAAGTAGGTAAGTGAGGAGAGCCCACAGTAGAGCTGGGGAAGATTTTCAAGGTAACACAATCCAGTTTATTGATGAGGAGGAATGTTCCTACTTGTTCAAAATAAGACGCCATGTTACAACTCTATTTTTGGCACCTCTCATGAACCTGTTTAAACATTTCAAAGTGTTGTGGGTAGAATGGCTAAGCAACTGGCATTTTAAGGAGCTTGGCAGTGATAGCCCACTTGCCCTTAAAGGAGAACTATGGGGTTAGGGCTTTTCCCCATAGTTCTCCGAAGGGTAACGGGAGGACACAAACTAGCGTCCTCCAGTTACCCAAAGCGCAGTATACCGCGAGCTGCAGCTCGCGGTATACTGGGACGCAGCAGCTGAAACCGATCCCGACAATTATGTCTGGATCCGCCCAGCTGCGTGAGTGACAGCTGGCTCTGCCTATCTAGAGGCAGAACCAGCTGTACCCGCCCAATCCCCCGTCCGTTCCGCCAGTCAGCGCTGGAGGATCAGACGGGAGAATCTAGTCACTCCCCTGTCACGGCTCTCTGCAGTGACAGGATCGAGAAGTGAGCGAGCGCCCGTATGTATTCGCTTACTTCCCGATCTACTGAGCTGACCTGTGACAGATTATGAGGCTGAGTGAAAAGCACTCTCCTCATAATTCTCCTTTTAAGGTCCATAGAGTTGAATGTTGGGTAGACCTCATGGGTGTCTGCCCAACAATGAAGTGTCTGCATTGGCAGACACTTCAAAATGAGAATAGTTGTAAGAAAACATATATTCTGACTGCTCTAGGATTTAGACATAATACATTTTATATGTTTATCTGCTTCTAATTTTGACATTATTGTAATACTGACAAATTGTCTGCTGTCTTCTTCTGCTCTACAGGAGGACGGTATGAATTCACAGTAATTTGGGTGCTTCCCCAAGGTGTGGTGGATGGGAGATGTTTAGGCTGTCTGGAGGTGTCCTGACTTCGGCTCGTTCACTGTTTGCATCCATTGGAAGGGCACAGGTGTTGATGGTTAATATGTTCTATGCTGTGAGAAGAGGACGGAACCCAGGAGTATACAGTACATGGTAAGACATGCATTGTCCGTGTTCATAACAGAACTCTAAGACTAATGCTGAGGTCCTGCAATATAATCCAGACTAATTCTGAAACAATGAACACCTGTAAACTAGGTAGAGATGGAGATTCTTCATGTCCATAGTAACAATGTGTAGATGGAACGGGCAAGTAGATGAGAAGACGCTATTGCGCATTTAGATCATAGTTGTTACTGTCCTCAAGGGTTGTTGGTATATACAGGTTTAGGGCCCATTCACACCACATCCAGACCATCTCCAGCCAGACCAGATTGTTTCCTGACCCAAAATGCATCCTAATGTACCCCTATGCTATTACCGGGCTCTTCACACCAGCACAGTCCGTTCCAGACCAGACTAAAAAAATACTGCATGTCTCATTTTGTCTGGTCTGAAATGCACTGGAACGCATGGAAACTTCGCAAAAACACATGCAAACGCACTGGAATGCACCTGAAAGCCCATTTTAAGCTAAAAATAAAACCGCTCTGGAACGTGTCAAAATCGCAGTAGAAACGCAGCAAAAAGCAGCGAACCTGGCCTTAAGCATAGACACCAATAAACTGTGTGTACTGCAGCAATATCCGCATGTGGGCACAGGTAAATCCACCATACTAGCTTACAGCGGAAGGATATATACTAGGGTGACCAGACATCTTGGAAAGTCTTGCTCCTGTTTTGATAAATTCTCCCCCATGGTGCTTTTGGGGTTTTAGGGGAAAGAACCCTTTGTAATTTAAGGACAGTGTTAAGCAATATAAGCATTGAATGGCTTCATGTATGGATTTAGGTTAAGGTGTGCAAACCACATACTAACAACCATTGTCTGGAAATGTATAACAGCAGGTCTCCCTCCCACTCCCCCTTCAAACAAATTTCATCTATCACTCGATTTCTATAGCCTGCAAGTTCTTTGCTATGGGTTATATAAGTTTGTATACTGCTTAGTCCAGGTAACTCATGACATCCCTATTTCTACATTTCCTACTACAGTAAACTCCCCGTTATCCGGCATCCACAGGGATTGGTAGATTCCGGATAAATGTAGTTTCTGGTTGCTTGTGAGCTACTATTAGAAATAGGTCTAACTTATGCCCTATCCCACACTATACCATATCATAGCATAAACTCTGTATTGACTTCATATTAATATTGAAATGCACTAATCAAAAGCAAGTTAAGACATATTGGGGTTGATTTACTAACCTTATAAACACGCCACAAACAAGTATACACCTCTGTAGTGTGTTCCCTCCCAGCATGATCTATGGGTGGAATCTAAACACCTTTGTAGTGTGTACACACCCAGCAGGTGTGTTGTGCAAAGCCCTGCATGAATTGCAAGGTGATGTTGTGTAAATTAGCTCTATGTTGTGTTGCTTGCGTTGATGAATGCAGGAATGTAAATGCATGAGCTAACCATTTGTGTCTAAACTGTGAAGCAGCATTATATATGCATCATGTGCATGATTTTTCCATATATGGCATTAGTGGAAATATGCTTTTAGAGACTTTTTGGTTGATAAATACGTTTTGCTGTGTAAAAATCACACGCACCTAGTGCGTGCGTGTGTTTAGGTTAGTAAATCACCCCAATAGACGCACAATTGGTTCCAGGATAATACATGCCGCAGATCAGCAAAACAGTGAGTACACGGGGATTTTTTTTTCTGGTTAGATGAGATTTCTGGTTACTTGGATACCGGATAACTGAGAGTTTACTGTATTTGGTACAAGACCTCTTGAGACCAGTAACCAGAACTTGAAGCAACAGAATGTTTCTAGATGTATGTCTATAAAAGCTGGAAGGCTGGATATGTCTTTTAAATCCTTGTATGCAATTTATGATCCCAGGGATGAATGCAAAGAACAAGTGGAACGCTTTGCAGGTGCCAGGTACAAGAAGTTTGCCTGCGAGGAAGAGGCCTGGAAGTTTGTAAGGGAAACTGAAGGAGCCCCCGCAAAAAGTTCTGAAAGTAAGTTAGGAAGGAGTAAGACACATAAGTTTGACTCCACTGCCATAGGCCTCTTAGATGGGAGGATGTGGGTGTATCTTCTTCACATCAATTTGTTTTGTCCATGGTTATAAAGGTTCTAATGCCCACTTGCCTTGACTCACGGGTGTCTAGATCTCTAATCTGTTGGGTATTATTGCTTTTGGCCAAATCTGAATAATCTGGCTGTTGTTTACTGTGTGCCAAGACTAGGTATGGCCAAGTGATTGACAAGCAGCAGTAACGTTGCTGATAGCCATGCCCCTGCAGAATTTCCTCTTCACACCGTAATGCAGATGCAGGCTACATGAGAGTGGCAACTCTGATCTAAATTCAGAAACAGTGTAGCATTGTTTCCACAACATCTTAGGAATCTGCATGAAGTGGACTTCACTGGCAGGCTCAACAGGTATTTGTGAGACTTTGCAGGGTGCACTAAGGTAATATTCATGATTTCACTGCACCCCTAAAAACCAGGATGCTACGCATTACAAACTAGTAGTCCCATCACTGGAGCCATGTTTTAAAATGTATTTTATTGTTTATCCGATTAATCGAACTTAATAATCGGCCAACTAATCGATTTTGAAAATAATCGTTAGCTGCAGCTCTAGACCAGTCAAGTATATCTTCTTTAATCCAGCCCCTAGACCAGGGGTGGGCAACTCCGGCCCCCCAGCTGTTGTCATACTACAAGTCCCATGTGGCATTGCAAGACTGACAGAGGCATGGCTGCCAGAGTCATAGGGGTGTTGGGATTTGTAGTTAAAGCACAGCTGGAGTTGCCCACCCCTGCCCTAGACCAAAATGAGCAGTTAACCCTTGCAGTGCTGGGGAGCCCCACTGCATGTGTTAATTTTGTTAACATATCAAAGAGGAACTCGGGAGTTAACTCCCAATTGTTTCCTCACAGTGATTGGTGGACTCTAGTAGGGAGTTGTAGTAGGTGGGGTCGGGTGGACCAGGTCTTGACTTTATCAATAAAAGGCAAGATAAAAAGGAATGTAAGCCCTAACCAAATTCATTTTGCTAAAGCCTCCTAGACCAAAGCAAGCATCTAACCCTTGCAGTGTGGGGGTAGCATCACTGCAAGGGTTCATTTTGTTAATTCCTGGAGTTGTTCTTTAAGACGTTAACCCATTTACGACCGTGCAACATATATATGCTGTGTTTTTCTAGGATGCACTCAATTGACGCCCTTAGAACTGTGACCAAACCGTCACCGACCGCTTACGGTCAACTATAGACGATTGGCAGCAGGCAGAATGGGCCCCTGATTACATCATCACTGTGTAGCCAAACACACAATGAATGGATAGGATCCCCTCCTACCAGCCTCCATCATTACAGCCCACTTAAAGGGCCAGCTCTCATTGTCGGCATGGGGTTAAAGTCATTTCAGTAATTTTCTTTTTTTAATAATCGGCTTTTATTTTGGATGACAGCGGCTCTGTAGCATGGCAGAGCGGGGGATCGTTAAATATCATTGATATTTAACGATCCCTCTGTTTACAGCAAACACCGGAGTGATCGTCTGATCATCGTCTGATAACGTTACTGGGGACGCTGGACTGTCATTACACCCTGAGAACCTGGCGGAGCCGCCGTGATATCACAGCGGCTCCGCCGGGTTCTCAGTGTAATGACACATCAGCGTCCTTGGTTAGCTGCTAACCAGGGGACGCTGATCTGTCTCTGCATGCAAGTGGCCATAGAGCCGCCGATCGTGTATATGTTAAACAGCCGGTAACTGCTCTTTACATTGCACAGGTTTTTTCTGCCCGTGCGCGCGCAGAAAAAAAATGCCGTCTGGAGACGGCAACCCGCCAATGCAGCAGTGCCGTCCGTCCGGTTTTTTTTTAACGGGCGGACGGCAACTGGTTAAGATACATGGAAGGGTATTTATTAAAAGTGGATCAGACAAAATCTGGAGCAAGTGTCCATGGCAACCAGTCAGCATCTCTATTTAATTTTCAAAACTTAACTGAACAAACTGAAGTAAGAACCTGATTGGTTGCCCTGGGCAGCTGCTCCAGATTCTGTCTGCTCCCGTTTTGATAAATCTCTCTCCCCCCAATGGTATTTTAGGAAAATTTAATTCAGTTAGGGTTTATATCTATTTTTATTTTGACTTTTGCTAATAGGCCGGGTCCACCCAACCCAACCTACTACAACTTCCTACTGGAGTCCACCCATCAGTCTGAAGATCCAATAGTGAGTTGTAGCTGGCAGGAAAGGATGTGCTAGCTCTAGAGTTTCTCAGCAAATTAAAGACTAGTATATTGACATGCAAAACTGCCATGCATTTCAGGGGCACTTGTAAAGATAATACATTGCAGGGGTAGGCAGACACAAGTCCTCCAGCTGTTGTGGAACTACAAATCCCATTAGGCATTGTAAGACTCTGACAGCCACAGGCATGACTCCCAGAGACAGGTGTATATAGGATGTGTAGTTTTACCACAGCTGGAGGGCCAAAGTTTACCTACCCCTGATATAGAGTATGTACTAACATCTAATGGTGCCTGTACCACATTCAGGTTGTCACTGAAATGGTATAGTTAGAATTTTAGATTGCGGGGCCCTCCTTACCATCTTGTCTTGAATTGTGATGTCTTCCTTATATTGTAAAGTGCTGCGCAAACTGTAGGCACTATATAAATGCTGTATAATAATAATAATGGCTGCAATTATGGTGGAAGATCATAATATGGATATATGCCCCTTAGATGTTCGATAAAATGTAAATTGTTCATCTATGTATAGCTATCAATATTTATTTGCTCATTTCAGTATTCATATGACATGCAAAAATTTGGTCTTCTAGTATCCTACTCGCCAAACACTGATAATTTGGTTCTAACTGGATACTGGCGGGCTAGATTGCTGGCTTCCTATGCCTCTTGGTGATTCTGGTTGTGAGATCCCCGCGCTACTGCCATGGCCATCCCGAAGATTGGGCTGTGGGTGGGGGGTCATTGTCACTCCAGATTTCTACATGCTGGAGGTGCGGGGCTTCTTTGCCCGGCTTCACAATGGTTGTGGTAGAGCAGGGGTGCCCACAAGGTCGATCGCGATCTACCAGTCGATCGCGTAGCGATCACTGGTAGATCGCCATGTCCTCTCCTCCCGCCGCTTCTCTGGATCCCCGCTGCTCTCCCCAGCGGGGATCCGAGAAGAAGTGAAGGAACCGGCGGCGGGGGAGGGCGGAGGACGGAGCCGCTGTCACTAACTAATGCAGAGCAGTGAGGAGAGAGAGAGACGCTCGGCCAGGATCTGACAGCCGGCGCCTCTCTCTCCCCTCACTGCTCGTCCGTTCTGTCACAGCGGCTCCGCCCCCCGCGGCTCGTCGTATCCCCCGCTGCCTCTGCCCGGGAGAGCAGGGGGATCCAGAGAAGTTGCAGCCCCCCTGTGCGTGGACGAGCGGCAGAGGATCGGTACATGTCACTAGTATGTACCAATCCTCTGTGTAGGACAAACACTGGAGCGATCGGCTGATCACTCCAGTGTTTGTAAATAACTGGGGACACATAGTACTATGTGTCCCCAGTTATAAATGAATGAACAGGAGGTGATTTACATCACCTCCTGTTCATTCATAAGTTTCTCAATGGGGAGAAGCACTCTGTACAGAGGCTCCTCCCCATTCAGAAACAGCTTGATAGTAAAATATTTTCTTAATGAATGGGAAGCCTCTGTGCTTTCCATTCATTTAGAATAGAGGCTGCAGAAAAAGAGATTGAGGACTTTGTGTCCTCAATTACTTTTTCTATTTTAAAAGGGAAATATCAGGGGGCTTTTTAGACCCCTAATATTTCCCCGAAGCCCCCCAAGAGTAAAATTTAAAATCAATAAAAATAAATAATGAAAAAATAGTAAAAAATAAATTTAAAAAACTTAGTTTTTTTTCCTTGCCTCAGGCGCAAAAGGAGCTGGCTACGGCTATGCTCCCGTGGTGCTCGTGCGGCTGCCAGCTGAATGTGTCAGACGCTGCAGATGAAAAGGTGCAGGACACCCCATGTGCAACGTCGGCCACACGAGCACCACGGGAGAACAGGACGCCGGGACCTGTAATGTACTGGAATGCACTGGAATGTAAGCAGGCCGACTCCCTGCGTTCAGGTGAAGTCAATGGCATCGCCCACAGTGCGATCGCCTGCACTCGGAACGCAGGCACATTAGTGCCTGCATTGCGGTCCAGTGCGATCTGCAAAAATTGTGCTTGCAGCATTTTTGCGGCTCGCATTGGACTGGAACACAGGAACTAATGCAGGCCATCGCACTGTGGGTGAGGGGCCTACCTGCGCAGCCCACGCCCACTCCCGCCCCTGAATGCAGGTGTTTTTTCGTTGGTAGATCTCAATGAGCTCGTTATTTGAAAAGTAGATCTCCAGATGAAAAATAGTGGGCGCCCCTGTGGTAGAGTAAAGGCAAATCTGAGAACTTTTGATATCATCTCATCACTAAAGTCATGGAGAAATATAAGCAGGTAGCGCAATGAGGTTTACCCAGAGAGGCAATGCCCGCTTTAGTTATCTTTACCTAATTTCAAACATAAAGCAGTAATAAGAGTAACAATACGTGGGGATTTATTTCATAGATACAGGTAAGTGTGCTTTGCAAATAACATAATTGTTCATCTGTGCTTCCTTGTTCCTGGCCTTGTCACCAGGCCATTCATTTGAACAACAATCTTCCCATAAGGATGTGATATCGGCAGCCCCAGCAGACTTGGACTGGTTCCTGGCAGTGACAACTCTGCTTCTACATAGATACAGTACGAAAGTTTGTATAGGAAGGTGAAAGGAGGTCCAGAATAGCTAGGCCAGCACAGACAGTAATTAGACACTTCCAGAAGAGGAGAGGGCTATGATGTGGCAGGAGGGAGAGGGAACTGTGGCTGTGGTAGGATATTAACTCTTAATGAGCTGGCAAGTTTGGATTGCAGTACTGTAAACTGAAGCGCTACACTCTGTTTAATAGTCCCAGATACATCTTTATTATGGGGTTGAGGGGATAATATTGAAATAGCCAACGTGTTTTTGGGGGCTCATACAAATGCCCCTTCTTCAGGGCTTACAGGGGAGAACATGTATCAGGACTGTAGTGGCTTGAAATTGGATAGTGTGCGAGACTGCATAGAGGCAGGTCCCTATAATGAAGCAGCCTTATTTGGGGGGGCGCAACATATTGGAAGTGGATAAAATAATTTTGTTGAAATGTGACATTCTGACGCAGATCTTGTTTGCTGGCCTCGCCCCAAATAATCAATAGTAAATTGTATTTTTTCCAGGTAGTGGTGGCACACAGAATCCCTCTGCAAGCAAAGAAAAACAGGATAATGTACTTCCTTCGTTCCGTGCCAAGAGACCGCTCCAGCTTTCTAGCATCTCTACTACGGATCAGTCTTCACCTAAACGAACTAAACTGATTGATATCAGTGCCTTACCACCCATGATTGGACACTCATTTACTAATATGGGTATATTCAGGATTATTATTATTATTCTTCCTTTAGATCTTGCCAGAAATCTTGGCAGCTGATATTTTCCTGTGCTCCCTCTATGTGCTGCATTTTTATCAGTTACGTTTTTCCCAGATATCTCTAAGGACTACAGAACCCCTTCCTTCTGTTTGCAAGAAGAAGATAGGTTTTTGTAGTCCACTAGGGTGACGACTCTGCTATTACATAGCTACAGTATGGTGAGTGAATGTTATCACAATAGGATAGCAAGTGTGTTACTGCCAGGATTACTAGTGACCATAAAGGAAAATTCTGAAAATAGAAAACGAATGCAGCCACCACATTTATGGACTGGTAAGTTGCAATATATTCAATGTCTATTAGGCTCGGATACACTTTTTAAGCTTTGGTGCTCCTTTTCAGTGGCTGTTAAATTGGCATATGATAAGGGTCAGTCCTGTCTATGTAGCAGGTTAATCTAGGAATACACAGTTAGAATTTCAGTTGAACATTTATACGGAATGCAGAAAAAATTGTTCATCAGGACATTCAATGATGCCATTATCAAGTCAACTAATTTCGTTTTAAAGCTCTTAAAGGAGATGTTTGGGATCATGAAAAGAAATAAATACACATTGGGTCTGGAACTCACTGCCACAGACAGTGATTTCAGCAAAGAATGTGGAATTGTTCAAGAAACTTTTGGACGATTTCTTAAGGGACCGTAATATACAGGGGTACAGGTACTCCTAGAATGAGATCCTAATAGGTTGGGCTTGATGGACTAATGTCTTTATTCAACCTCAAATACTATGTAACTATACTCTCTGCTGCACATGGGTTACCACAATCTGGCAGATCATGTGACGGCTGATCTGAAAGCTCATGGTCTCTGCTTCTAGCGGCACCTCTGATGGAAATTCTCCCAGGGGGGGCGGACGCTGCTGGATCTGGCTCTCAGACGCACACTAAAAGGTAGAATCAGCTGTGAATCAAACACCTGGGATGGATACCGACTATATTGTTGGGATCCTTCTAGACTGCTGCATGGCTGTGACCTGCTGATAGCGAGCTCCAGCCCACTATTGGCTGATTTTAGATCACATTATGCAATGTACTCCTGTGAGCAAAGAAGTATAACTCAAAAAGGTGTACAAATTTTAAAAGTGTGTGTGTTGCACTTCTTTTTTTTTTTCTTTCAACTACATTAACAGGATTTTGTTAACTATTAGAAATCGAAAAAATATTTTGAATAAGAACTACATGTTTATCGTGTATAGCTAGCTTTATTTTTGAGCGGTTTATCGCTCATATTTCCGCGCAATGTCGCTCAATGTAGCGTTCCAATGTATTTCAATGGAGCTGTTCACAGCTCAATGTCGCCTGTAGCTCGTCGCTCAAACTTGTAGCTCGAACATGACCTATTTTTGGCGGATGCTGCGCGATTTGGCCCCATAGACTCAATGGTGTTGTGCAAATTCGCGCATGACTACATAAAAGTGTTTCCTGGGTAATGTTTGAATGTAAAATGTCTCCTAGTAATATCTCAGTACTTGGTTTGGGCCCCTTTTGCAGCACTTACTGCAATTACTTTTGCACGATATTCTAATTATTCGAGTTTCACCTGTATAACAGACCTGTCAACAACCATGCATACTGTAGCCATGTAATATCCTTAGTCCATCTGCCCTAACGCTATAAAAACTTCTGAATATGGCAAAATTTTGTATGGTGCCCTGTGATTTCTAATTACGCCCCTTGCAGAGCCCACCTGAGAGTGACCCTGCAGAGCCCACCATAGACTCTATGGTGGGCTCTGCAAGGTATCAGGTGGGCTGGTTACACCCCTGCACACCTCTTACCTGTCAGCCCCGATCCTCCTCCTTCACGGTCGCTGGCGGGCTTCACCGCCGCCGCCTCCGCAGCTGCTGATGACTGGCCCTGCCTCCTCCGCAGTTGCTGGGTGTCACTCACTCATCAGCGGCTGTGAGGAGGAATGCGCCGCTGTCCAGATCAGGTCAGTGATCTGGACAGCAGCACATTCCTCCTCACAGCTGCCAGTGACAGCCAGCAGCCTGCGATGCCATGGCGGCCCACGCGGCACCAGGGGGACCCCTTTGTTCCTCGTCCTGGCTGGGCCCCCCTGTGGCCCGGGCCCCATAACGGTCGTCTGAGTCGCTATGGCAATAGTTCCGCCACTTTATATGGAGCAAACATTGACATTTCCTCTACATCCCACAATGCAGCGCTTAGTGCCTGAATGAACTGTTGCCAGGTCCAAGGATTAACATGTGAGGAGAAGGGGGCATACCTTTAGCACTTTCAGAGAAGACATTGTTTGAGGGTTTATGCAGGAATTGCAATGGTGCCTGCTGCAAGAACAATTTGCTTTATGTGACCCTGTGACAAGTTTGCTTTAACACAATTTCTCTTTGATTTGGATTTAATGCTACATATAGAATTTATTGACAGGAGATGCCACTGTGGTGTACACTGATGGTTGCTGCTCACAAAATGGGAAACTTAAGGCACGAGCTGGAATTGGGGTTTACTGGGGACCAAACCACCCCATGTAAGTGATTTTGCAATTATTAATTACAGCAGAAAAATGTAAAATACAAGCATTTGTCTTTTCTTTGTGTATTAAAGTGACCTGTGTTGTTTTAAAATACTAAAGCTGAAGATCACCTGCAAAAGAAGAGATAGTATACTTCGCTAGCAGGCCCTTTCTCCACACTACTCTCCATTCCAGAAATGTGGCTTTGCCAGCATCATTGGCCTTCAGCACTTCTGGGAGTGTTGAATAGTGTGTCTTCTGCATGCTGAGCCCTTCCTTCTACCCCTATATTATTGTTGGTCTCTTCCTTCTAACCCTGCATTACTGCTGGTCTCTTCCTTCTAACCCTACGTTACTGCTGGTCTCTTCCTTCTAACCCTACGTTACTGCTGGTCTCTTCCTTCTAACCCTACGTTAGTGCTGGTCTCTTCCTTCCTTTTAACCCTACGTTACTGCTGGTCTCTTCCTTCCTTTTAACCCTACGTTACTGCTGGTCTCTTCCTTCCTTTTAACCCTACGTTACTGCTGGTCCCTTCCTTCCAACCTTACATTAACGCTGGTCCCTTCCTTCCAAACCTACAGTCCTGCTATAGTGGCGTAGGTGTTGGAAGAAGAAACCATGGCATATGGTGGGGGACACACGCATCCAGCGCTCCCAAAAGTGTTGAATGCCGAAGACAGTGGTGAAGGCTGCAGTACTGAAATGAAGGCAAGGTAAAAGTCACAGGCTGCCAAAGTAGTGAGTATACCAGCTCTTCTCTTGCAGGTGACTTACAGCTAGAGTGGTTTTAAAACTTTGCATGGTTATTTTAATCATGAAATTTAAGCAGTTGCATGTTCATGAAGTGCATCCTCACATTTTCATGGGTTTCCATTTATTTAATGGGCATGTGTCAACACAGCGTTAGAGTTGTATGACCTCGAGCAAATTTCTTTTTCTTTCAGTAGCCAGTACATAGTAAAAACAGTTACTTTTAAGGCATGCCATCTGTCAAGGTTGTCAGTGTGCTAATGTCACCCCTCAACCGAACTTTTAAGCCCTCCAATTGGCTGGTGTCATAGCTGATCACTTGTGCAGCACCAAGGCGCCTGCAATCCAAGTAGAGGATAAGATGGCAACCTCCTTGGCTGTAAGGTATAGGAGGTTGTAGTTCCGCTTTGAACATGCTTGGTTTCTGTTGCTCCACTTTTGTCCAGGTTCCCTTGCTGCAACTAAGATTAATTCCTTACAGCAAGGTTGCGTAGCTAAAAATGAGAAAGAGAGTGATCATTTCTATACAGCACATAACTTATTTGAAGTGTCTGGTGACAAGTGGTAAAAGCAATATGTTTCAGGAAATAAGGAGGGGATGATCATGGCTGCAGTGTTTTCAAGTCTTCTAGGAAGGAAGGTATTCATGACATCCCTTTTAGATACACATGCTCCTTGCTTATCCCTACCAGCCAATTGTGACCTAGACTAGCGTGCATGCTAACCTAAAGTGGTGTTGGGGATGCCTTGTTAAAGAGGAACTCCAGGATTTTGAAAAGTTACCCCTGTAGTGTAGGCGTAGCCCTACTACAAGGGTTAGCTTTTCAAAATCCTGGAGTTCCTCATTAACAAGGTATCCCCAACACTACTTTAAAGGAGAACTATGAGATGAGGGATTTCCTAGTTAGAGCCGTGTGACTTTGAAACTGTCACACTTCGGCTCTATGGAAGTCCGCAAAAACACACCACCGACCGCTGACTTCCCTATCATCTCCCAGCAGAGAGTGGTGGCTGTCCGTCATCGCTCCTCTCCGCAGGGATTTCCCCCCCTCCCCTCTCTGATCCTAGAAGCGCTGACTGGAGGTATGGACAAGAGAGGGGGCGGGCACAGCCTCTAGATAGGCAGAGCCTGCTGCCAATCAGCCAGCTGGATGGCTCTTGACTGTATTGTCAGGATCCGTCCCGGCTGCGGCACTCTCAGAATATAGCGGGCAATAGCCTGCTATATACCGAGCTTTGGGTCCTGTGACTATAAAGAGAACTATGGGGAAAAACGCTTACCCCATAGCTCTCTTTTAAGCTTGGTAAAAGTTGATCATGGATTTTATTTTATGTAGGAACCCTGAGGCTGATCAACAAAGACCTTGTGCAAGTAAAAGTGAAAGAGCTCTCCAATTCAATACAGATGGCCACCAGCAAAAGCTTGAATTTATGCCAGTTGGTATCACCTAACTGCATGCTAATGATGGACTGATCTAAAAGGGGGCTGCTAAAATGTTACACACTTGCTTTGCTCCACCTGAATGCTTATATTATGTTTAGATAAATTTATCACACACTGATTGCCACTCTGAAAATAAAGAAATTAGTCTATGAATTATAACCAAAAACATTAAAACAAACTTTTTTTTCTGTGTGGCATATTACCAGTGTTCCCAATTGTTACCTGTGTTTTCCCAGTTACTGTTCACGTGTTTCTTGTGGTAAATAGGAACGTGGCAGAAAAACTTGATGGAAGACAAACAAATCAGCGAGCAGAGATCCAGGTAGTTTATTTTATGGTAAAGTCGTGTTTTTAATATTTTTTGCACTCATTTCCATTGAAGATATACACTGAGTGGCCAGATTATTATGACCACCTGACGTTTGTAGGCAAATTAGCTATAATCCGAGCTGAAGTTGCTAGAGGGCCAGACCATTATAAATAGGGAAGCAGGTTGTATACCACGACAGTAGAAGTGATGTTTTTTGGAAGATATGGGGAAACAACACGATTTAACAGCCTTTGAACGTGGGATGATTGTTGGCGCTCGGAGCCATGGAGCGAGTATCAGCAAAACAGCAGAATTCGTTAAATGTTCAAGAGCAGCTGTTGTTAAAGTGTTTAAAGACTGGACTGTCAGCGGAAAATCTGGGTCTGAACGTGTGAATTGTGGCCGTCAGCGACTAGTCAATGTTAGGGCAGAATGGAGAGTGGCAAGACTGGTACAAGACACAGAAGGGCAACAGTGCATCAAATTACTGCAGATCTTAATCAGGGATCCTCTCAAATGATCTCTGAACGCACTGTTCGCCGTACACTGCATCGTATGGGATATGGAAGCCGAAGGCCTGTTCGAACACCTTTGCTGTCTGCAGTTAACAAGATAAAACGTCTCCAATTCGCACAGGAACACAAGGATTGGACAGTCGAGCATTGGAAAAAAGTCATGTGGTCCGATGAATCACGTTTCCAGTTGCATCATGCAGATGGCAGAGTGAGAATTTGGCGGAAACAGCATGAAAGCATGCACCCCACATGCATGAGTACAACCCTTCAAGCTGGTGGGGGCAGTGTTATGGTTTGGGGCATGTTTTCCTGGCATGATTTGGGCCCTTTAATTCGTGTGGAACAACGTCTGAATAGCACAACATACCAAAGTATCGTTGCTGATCAAGTTCATCCTATCATGTTGATGGCGTATCCCAATGGAGATGGCTTCTTCCAAAAAGACAATGCGCCATGCCACGGTGCTCGTATTGTGCAGGAGTGGTTTCAAGAACATGAGGGAGACTTTACCTTGCTTAGGTGGCCCCCACAATCACCAGATCTCAATCCAATTGAGCATTTGTGGGACGAAGTTGGAAGAGCCATCAGGCAGCTGGTTCCACAACCATCAAATCTCACAGAACTGGACAGTGCTATTCATCAGGCATGGTGTCAGATTCCTCGCATCACCTTTCAACATCTCGTGGAGTCAATGCCCAGAAGAATCGCCACATTATTGAAGGCAAAAGGTGGACCAACGAAGTACTGATGGGGTGCTCATAATAATCTGGCCACTCAGTGTATATGTACATTTTCACTTGTGTACATGTAACAGGAGCAGCTGTAGTAACACAGATTTACCACCTCGGGACTGGAATAGTTCTATCATTTCTGAAAGCAAAGGCCCTGTAGAATTCTACAGGGCAAAATTTAGTGCCCACAAATGTCTGCGCATTCGCACGGGAGTTACATCCTCCACGGCACCCAACCCATTCACTGCATCTTAGCGATGCCATTAATGGGCTGAGTGAGTACGCTGTGTGGTGTATGTGCTGTACAGTGTACATGAAAAATAAAAAATCGCTGGTGGAGAGAGGAAGAATCTTTGTGGCAGAAGAGACTTTGCATGTCTTCTGCCAAACGTCAGTACTTTGACATTTATTCAGTCATGCAACGCTGTACTAAAATTTATTTTTATTACATTTTTGGGGACAGATAGCTTTCTTTTGGTGGTAATTAATCACCCCTGGGGTATATATATATTTTTTTTTACTATATTGAAAAATTACCAAAAATTAAAAACAAAAACAAATGTGCCTTATATTTAGTTATGCAACATTTATTATTACCCAATTTTTTGGTAAAATATAAAAGACGGGGTCACCTCAGGTAAATATACACAAAACATGTCAAGCCTTAAAATTGCGCACGAAACTGCAAAAAATCAGTGATCGATGGCCCTAAAATTAGTGCTTGCACTCCAACAGTTGGGGTGATATGTGCAGTGCAATTGTTATTTTCGCATGTTGGTGCACCCGGCGCGTATTTACGTTTATATGTGCGTAAACGTGGTGGTGGGGGACTTAACAATTTGGGGGGGCTTCCATTTTTTTTTTTTTTTTTTTTTTTTTTTTAACACGTATTGTTATTGCTATGACATAGGGGACTAACAATCCCCTATGTGATAGCACAGGCACACTGACAGGTCCTCTTTATGGAGACATTAGGGGTCTCAAGACCCCTAATGTTACCTGGGGACCCCCAAATAAGCTGATGAAGCAGAGATCTGCTTCTTCTCTGTCTATAGCAGCCAGGGAAATGACAGCTGAATGCAGAAGTGATGTAATACACATCACTTCTGCATTCAGAGATCGGAGAGGATATCAGCAAGTGGAACAATGCTGCACTCCCTCCGATCTTCATGCTGAGCCGGTCCCGGGCCCGCAGAGGGGACAGCGGACATCATTCCAGAACTCCTTGTTCTTCTTTACACTGACAATAGTTCTTAATGACATTAGCTGAATGTTTGGTGTCGTTTTCCTTCTGCAGAATAAATTTGGGGCCAATCAGACTTGCAAGGAACCTCCACCATGCTCTACTGTTGCTGCAGACACTCATTATTGTACCGCTCTCCAGGCCTTCCGCGAACAAACCGCCTTCTGCTACAGCCAAATATTTCACATTTTGACTCATTAGTCCAGTGAACCTCCTGTCATATTTTTGCGGTCAAGCAACTCAACTATGTACGAAAACATAGGAACTGGGGTGCAGAAAAATGGCAGCAGGTGACCCGGACCGATGACTCAAAAACTGCAAAAAATGGCTTGGCAGCAAAAGGTTTAAACAGCCACATGAACTACTCCTTTGAGACATATTGAACCTGTGATGAGTTGTTTGGAATAGAAATGAACTAACACTCAATGTTTCCTGCAGGCAGCATGCAAAGCCATAGAACAGGCCAAAAGCCAGAATATCGCAAAGCTTGTGCTGTACACGGACAGCATGTTTACAATAAATGGTAAGAGCCATGGGGGGATTATTCCTGCCATAGTATTCCCTTGTTATGCCTTATTTGCAGTTAGTCCATATATTTCTTATACATATGTTTGTATGTTGTTTTTAGCTATCACTAAATGGATACATACGTGGAAAAAGAATGGCTGGAAGCTCAGCACTGGTGCAGATGTCAAAAACAGGGAGGACTTTGAAAAACTGCACAGTCTAGTGAACGGGATTGATGTGAAATGGGTCAGTATAACGGACACGGCCTCTGTTTTTAAAAAAAAAGGACAGTTGAGTCGCTACACATGTACAAATCGCACTACTTTGCAAAAGTTTCTTGTACTGGAATGCATTTTTATTTTAAAGGGAAATTCCACCTTTTAGAAAATAATAAATGCACATTTCTACATAAACCTGAACATTTTTTTTTTTTTTTTTGCATTGGAGCCAGTAAAGCATTGCAAGTGTGATCAGTAGATCATTGGTGCTTTGCTCTGATCCCTGTAGACTAGGTTGCCCAATAGGTAGATCGCGAACTACCAGTCAATCGCATAGCTATTTCTGGTAGATCGTGATTGCAAGTTCAATTTGGCTGCTCCATTTATCTGGGAGCTCAGCTGCTGCTTGCTGTTCTCTGACTTGGCCAGCAGGTGGCACTCTGTCCTGGCCGAGCCCCTGCCACTGAAAGCCGTGCTGCAGAGTTCAGCATGCAGCTGCTCCAGTCTAGGGAAGCCTGAGAGCAGGGCCCTGGGGCCACACACATCAGACAGACACAGTCCATGGCCGGGTAAGTGTGTGTGTGTGTGTGTGTGTGTTTGGCTTACCCATTTAATATTACACTATGATATGCGTGTATTATGTATGTATGTATTTGAAATATTCTGGTGTTTAAATAAGACTGGTTCTGTAACACGTTCTACCTTCCCTTGCAGATACACATCCCAGGACACGCTGGCTTTGGAGGAAACGAAGAGGCTGACAGACTTGCTAGAGAAGGAGCTAAGAAGTCTTTAACAAGTTGAATTTAGATCATATATATTCCTCAGGCTTAAAGTCAAATTGAAGCAAACACTTTTTTTGGATTGAGTAAGAGATATATCAGCTTCTTCCATTTTTTTATTTTATTTTTTTTTTACAATCTTTTGTCCCATTGGTAAGATTCCCTTTCACTTCCTGTCCAATAGCTGCAACAGGAAATGAGAGGGAAATCGCTGGTGGTCAGCAGGGTCACCAGAACTAGTGTCCCCATTGGAAGATTTCCCATCTATTCCTGTTCTGGATTTGTATCTGTTCTGGTGACGACCCAAAATTTGGGATTTTCTTTCACTTCCAGTGATCACGATCACCAGGACAAATAGAGGGTGAAACTCCCGAACGGGGACACAGGCAGCAATAAAATCCGGGCGGGTTCTAATCCCTCTCCACTCCATCCAAAGCTATAATACTCTGCTTACCTGACATACATGAAGTGAACAGTCTGCAACCATCTTTCGTTGTCATCATTCCGGAGGGATGACAGGTGGAATCGGGTTTATTTATTTCACACTGCTCTTTGCTTTATTAAATGGAGGCTGAAGGTCAATGTAACCTTTGTTTTTTGCATACCTTTACAGGAAACTTATCGTCTACCATGACTGGGTCTCCTTCTGGAAATGCTGGTTATCGGGCTGCCTCTGGTTCCAGTGCTGACTGAAGTCTCTGACCTGTAGGAAGTATGCAGTCATTCACATGGGGCATTGTGGAATTCCTGCAGCAAGAACCTATGTATTCCTCCGTCAGGAATCCCAGGTGTCCTGTTTATATGCGGCCGCTCCACCTATTGAAGACCTTTACCCCCTTTTACTAAAATTCACATTAGCTTGCAGCTCTGCATTCTGATTTAAAATCATCTTGCATGCATTAGCGAAACAAACTTGTTTATCATATATTTACAGAGTTCCTCTACTTCCTGGTCCAGTTCTGGCACAAATTATGTACGTGCCAAAGCGTTGCATCCTGGGAAGGTTACATGAGCAGAGCATTGCTGGGAAATCTCATCTGCAATCTCATGAGATCTCAGGGAGAGGCATTTTCCTCCCCTGAGCTGGTGTGCATGGTCACATGTCCTAGTCACATGTGCCAGAGTTCCAGGAAGTAAAGGGAGAGCTAGTAACCTGCCCTCAGTTAACATGGCCACTGTGAGTAGACTGGGAAAGAAATAAGGTATGCAAAGAATACAGAGCTGGCAATTATCTAGAACTATGTGTTTGTAGATTGTCATTAAAATAACAACAAAGGCACCTTTTAGACATTTTTAGTAAGATATAGGTAAAGTTCCACTTTAATAAAAGGATGACTGCATCCAAACCACATGTAATCATGCTATGTATGAGTACATTCGGACTGCCGCTGGAAGATGCCGCAACTGTCACCCTGTCATTTACTTCAAATGTGTACAAAGCTGAATCTGAGCGGGGGACACCTGGCATTCCTGCCACAGGAATTCATAGGTTCTTGCTGCGGGAATCCTAGAACACGACATAAGTCCTTGTGTGAATGGGGCCTTACAGGGTGAGTGTCAATAAACCAACTCAGTGGTAAACCATTCAGACATGGCGGTTTGACATTACTTGCTGCATACTTGTTTCAGGTCTGTGATGTAAGTAGTTGTGAAGCCAGAGACAGGCAGGCAACTAGAATTTTCAGGAGGTCCAAAGGTTACCTTTCATGTAGTCATATACTGATCGTATATAATGCTGTTTATGTTGAGTACTCCCACATCACTTTAATGTCTTCTGTAAAGTCTTTTATTTTGGCTCTTTGAAGCATATTAAATAAAATGTTGTAAATAGATCATTAAATATTGAATTGTCTTGTTCTCTTATTCCAGCACATATACATCTTTAGTTGCCTTAGGGTAACACATGCTGATTGCTGCCTGATGGTTGAGGATACTTGTAGACATCTAGCTGACCACAATAAAACATGGAAATCTTATGCATTCAGCAAATACGCTCTGATAGCACAAGGAAGTTTGTGATTGAGCCAAACATACTTGTTTCATTGTAGTGGAGTGGTAAAGCATTATGTTGTTTTCTAGAATAGAATGAAGATCAATGCTTTATACCCTAGCAGCCTTATTGCTCCCCATGGTAGACACGACAGTCCTGCATCCAAATGACGTTTCCAAGTGTTTGTTGGTCAATGCTTTGCCATGTTGCACAACCTGATGAATACATCATCCAGCTATGTGATGAATTTTTAGACCGGCAAATGGAACTCCTCCCTCACTCCCTGAGCTACCATGGCTAGAACTTAGCCAGATCTAAATGGACGGACATCCATTTGTGACATACGCCCGGCCCGAACCCGCTGTACGTCAATCACACGTAACTATCTACAAGTCTGAACCGAGCATGGGCGTCACAAGGACGTGGCAGTACCACTCTCGGGCTCACCCGGCATGGAGATTCCCCAGCTCACGGGACACAATCTCAGGCCAGCAGACAGAGCGATCGTCACCAGGGTTGGTTAACTCCGCAGTCAACCCTTTATCCACAAATGTTCACTGCCACCATGTGTTTTTTAACGGAAACACAGACCATTCCCAGCAAATGCTGCACCAATTTAAAACACTTAAACAATGCCTATGATATCGCTGTCCCTTCAGACAGTAATATGACAGGATTCACTATACAGTAGCGCTCTTCACTGAGTTCTTATTTAGAGCGATTGTTTTTGAAGATCGTCTTTTTAATAAAAGAAACGGTGCAGAGAATATTCAGAAAAAGATATTAAAAAACAAAAACAAAATATATACAGTATCTCACAGAAGTGAGTTCTCCTTAGAGCGATAACACAAAATGTAACACACCTGCTCCCCATTCACACCTAAGACCTTGTAACACTAACGAGTCACATGACACCGGGGAGGGAAAATGGCTAATTGGGCCCAATTTGGACATTTTTACTTATTGGTGTACTCACTTTTGTTGCCCGCGGTTTAGACATTAATGGCTGTGTGTTGAGTTATTTTGAGGGGACAGCAAATGTACACTGATATACAAGCTGTACACTCACTGCTTTACATTGTAGCAAAGTGTAATTTCTTCTGTGTCGTCACATGAAATGATATAATAAAATATTTACAAAAATGTGAGAGGTGTACTCCTGTGAGATACTGTATATACAACAGCAAAATAAAAGGGGAATACTCAACAGTCCTGGGTTTAGGAGTTCTGACAGAGTTCAGAGTTGTATAAGCAATAGAGAAGTCTGAAGGGCTCTTCTTCAAGCAAGCTTTCAACAGATAATGTCCAGGGATTAAAGAGGAACTCTTCTGTGTTGTTAAGACTTCTTAGTTCCTCGTATTTTTAAAATTATGCGATCATCAGCTTATAGTAGAACTGTAAATGCCAGGTCCGTACGACGTACTGAGCTGGCCAGCTGGAAGCACTTTTGTAGCTCCGTACGACGTACGTCCTTGGCAGCGAAAGGGTTAAAGCAAAAGCCATTTCTAGCTAGTTCAGCATCTTTTTGTCAGACCTTTAGGAACCAGCCCCTAGGGCAGGGCTGGGGCTGGAAAGCAGGCGGAGGATGAACCTTTATTTTACACTATCACCGCCCCATTCCAAATTATGGAATGTAGCTGATATTGTAACTCAGATTTATGACTTTTGGGTGAATGTGGGGTCACCATCTCTACCAGACCTGCTTGTTTATATTAACTTGTCCACTGGTAATAGATGAGTGCCTGGTGCCATGCCTTTAATTAGGGACAGCTATAAAAGACTAAAGGTGCCCATACACTGCACGATTATCGTATGATAATCGTATGCGATCGATTTTTCGTACGATAATCGAGCAGTGTGAACGGAGACGTGCGACCGTTTCTACTGTACGGTCGCACGTCTTCTGTCGAACCAGCATGTTCGAAAACCAGCCGGGAATCGTACGATTCTCGGCTGGTTAGAACGCCCGTTCAGCATTGCAGTCATCGAAAGCCCGCCCCTCAGGGGGGCGGGCTTGCGATGATCGAGAGTGCGATCTGCCTGTCCAAGATAGGCAGATCGTACGTTTTTTTAATCTCTGTACAACCATCGCAAGACTAAGGTCTTGCGATGGTTGTAGAGTGTATGGCCACCTTTAGAGATATATTTTGAACTTTCACTAGGGCTGAGGCAATAAAGATCTGAAGATCACAGGCCAGAAAGCAGATCTCTGTTCTGTGGTATGTGGAGGGAGCTGGCAAATGGCTAAATGAAAGCCTGCATTTGCTCTGAACTGGGGGGACAAGAGAATTCTATTTTTAATATTCCGACTCACACCCCATTATCGTCACACCATTTACATCTGGTTACCTCTGATTCCACCCTAGTCTGAAAAAACGAACGGAACGACGGTGCATGAGGGGGCCTTACATTTTTGTGGGTGTTTTTTTTTTTTCTTATGAGACTTTAAATTTTCTTTAAAACTTTTTTTTGTTACACTTAAAACAGGTCCTCTTTATGCTATCACATAGGGGGCTAACAATCCCCCTATTGGATAGCACAGGCACACTGACAGGTCCTCTTTATGGAGACAATCGGGGTCTCTAAGACCCCTAATGCCAACTAGGGACCCCCAAAGTAGCTGATGAAGTTGAGATCTACTTCACCAGCTTCTTCTCTGGCTATAGCAGCCAGAGAAATGACAGATTAAAGGCGGAAGTGATGTAATACACATCGCTTCTGCCTTTAGAGAGAGAGGAGGAGAGATCAGTGGTGGGGGGATGCTGATCTCTCCTCCTTCTCAGCATGGGCAGCTGTTGTGCCGGTCCTGGGCTCGCAGGGGGGACAGCGGAGCCTAGGATAACCGGCAGAGGGAGCGCGCCAGCAATAGAGGGGGGAGGCCGCACACTACATGTAGTCATAAAAAGTGGTACCGGCTGTTTTTGTTTGCGTGCACCCGTGAGCAGAAAAAAAAATTGTTAAATATGCAGCAAATTACTGTGTTAAAAAAGAACTATGGCCCAATTTTTTTTTGCCATAGTTCTCTTAAGGGCACATGTGTCAAACACAAGTCCCGCAGGCCAAATCCGGCCCGCCATTTCATTTCATGCACCTCTCATGCAGCTTTACATTTTTAAACCAAAGCCAGTGCTTTAAACAGATGCTGGGCTTCACAGGAAGGCTGCAAAGATCCCCCACAAGGTCCCGGCAGCCTTCCTGTTTATCGCGGTGCATGGTTACAGCAAATCTCCTTCTTTGGATCCATGCCACCCGCACCTGCTGAGACCAACCGGGACCTCTGGTGAGTCTGCACTATTACACTAATTGCTATTATTTTTCTTAGACTTCTAATTTCAGAGCTAGTTATTACTAAAACCAGTAATAATCAAATGCAGAGGCGATTATTTAATATGATAAAGAGTAGATACATGTATATAGTCTTACAGATACAATGGCCCTTTGTCTTGCACCTGACCTTTGGGCTCACAAGGCACTGTGGGGAGTTCGGCAGGCGAACAGCCCGCCGAACGCCCTGACAGTTCATGTGTTCGCCGAACACACGAACTGCCGATGTTTGACTTGAACATCGAGCCAATCCCTAGCTGACAGCTCTTCTGCTGCCTGTCCTTGATACATACGTCCTATTAGGCTACGTTCACACATAGGTGATTGAGCTGGTGAGCTGTTTTTGTGCGGTTGTCGCACATTTTCCTTTCCGCAATTTTGCTTTGTAAACCTCACGGTTATGGCGCATTTTTCAATGCATAGAGATGGCTATGGGACCCAAACCGCCCAACAATCGCCCGAAAATAGCCCCTGCACCTTTTTGCACGACAGGCGATTTCTACCACATGACAAATCGCAAAGGTGTGGACAGCTTCTATAGAATTGAATGCGATATCGCGTGACTTAATCGCCTAGGTGTGAACCTGGCCTTAAGATCAATGACGTATTGTCACAGCTGACACTGCAAGCCACTACAGAGAGTACGCCAGGGATGGGGACCCAAATGTTTTGCCATGGGGCCCAATGATTTGTAGTTACGTTCAGTGGTGTATTCTGGTTTGTCCAGAGAGCCCACCACAGATCCTGCATAGCCCCCGAGACCCTGCAGAACCCACCACAGATCATGCACCCCCCTGAGACCCTGCAGACCGGTGTGCTCTGCCCACCATAGACCCCACCACAGTCACTGCACAGCCCACAGAGACTCTCAGGTGGGCTGTGCAGAATCCATGCTGGGCTCTGCAGGATCTCTTTAGCAGCAGTGTGATAATCTTACCTGCTGATTGGTCCCTGGCCTCCTTCACCACTGGACTAGTGCTGCAGGACCTGGCCTCCTCCGCAGCCCGACGGCTCTTTGGTGACCCGGCTTCCTATGGCGTGACGGCGCCCTGGCCCCGCCCCTTCCTGATCCGACGTCGTCCCGGCCCCTCCTGCTGCTCCACCTCGCCCCCTCCTGCTGCTCCGACTCTTCCGCCGCCTCTTCTGCCACCTTGCCGACTCCGTCTTTTGACTCCTCCGCCCGGCTGCCCCTGAAAATTGCCGCCCAAGGCAAACGCCTCGTTTGCCTGGCGGCAGATACGCCCCTGGTACTCTCTAGAGAAATCCTGTTGTTGGCAACTCGCGGCCAGTGACAGGATCGCTAAAGTGACACGGTCCAAGTTTAGTGACATCACTGCCCTTGTGTTATTATTATTATACAAGATTTATATATCGCCAACAGTTTGTGCAGCGCTTTACAATATAAGGAAGACATTTCAGTTATTACAATACAAGATATGTATATATATTTATATATATAGTCAGGTAAGGAGGTGCGGGGGAGTGGGGGCTGTATACAGGCACCGTGTTGCACCCTAATCACGTGTATAACATAAAACATGTCAGGAGAGGTTTGATTAGACTTTAATATCACTTTAATTGCAGAATGATTCAAATATGTGATCACAGGCTGTGAAAGTCTTCTCCCCAGCACACTGTTTGGATTTTTATTATAACTACAGATCTTCCTATAATCTGATGAGTTCTCAGAACCAGAAACCCCTCCAGAGGCGCACGCGGTTCCTCCATGCAGGGGCGGTTCCTCCATGCAGGGGCGGGTCCAGGTCTCTGAGGCTCCTCCCACACACGAGGCAGTGTTTACCGCGCTGTATATATACAGCAGGAGAGGGCGGCGCTCAGTATTGCTTACTCAGTCCGGGATCTTCGTGGTGTGTTTGTTTTTGTTGTCTGCAGTCATGCCGTACGCCGTGCGTAAAGGTCGCAGTGTGGGAGTCTATGACACCTGGTAATGTGCATTTCTAGTGTATTGGAGGTGGTGTGGGTGGAATGGTCGGCACTGGGACCCCCGGTCATGATGTGTGTAGAGGGGGCGGCTCTGTGTTTATGTCATGTATTCTTTGGTTGTGCTGTGTGGGAGGCTCGGCCCGCACAGAGCTCTGCACACCGGAAGTACAGCTGTTGCCCGTAGCAACCAGTTACACTGAGCTGGGAGTAGAGGGCTGCGTAGTGGGAGGCCTGTATGCAGCTGCCGCGGTGTGCAGACTTGTCATAGGAAAACTGATCTGGACGCTGAGAGGAACTTCACCCCATTCTAACTTGTATGCTGGGTTGTATTCTATTCAGTGATGGTTTGTTCACATTAGGCAGAGTAGGCACTGGCTTGCAGGCGCCCTCCATAGAGGGGCGCGGTGCTGGTACCCACTCTGCCTAATTCACAGTGTGGTGTTGGGATACAACTCCGGCAATAGCACAAGTTATGCACCCCCCCCCCTCCAAGACCAGTGGCACCATCTACAGGAATCGCTGGCAGCGTAAGGCTGCCCTGTAAAATGCCTTTGATGTGGACAGCCTTATGCAATGCCAGGGTCCTTCTCTGTATGTGAAAGCCGGTGGGTCTGCAGCGGTTACCCATGGCAACCAGTCAGCTTCTCTGCTTAATTTCCAAGGCTTAACCGAACAGACTGAAGATAGTAGCTGATTGGTTGTTATGGGCAAAAGCTCCACTTTCTGTTTGCTCCCGTTTTGTATGAATTCCCACCTCATTGGTTCTAGAGACTGCAGGTGAAGCTATGGGGGAGGGGTTGTCTATACTGTGCATGAAAAAGTGGGAGGGGCTTAATAGGTCGACAGAATGATGGAGGGATCCGTGTGTACACCATGCCAGTGACACCGATGGGGGGTGCCCCTGGCTCCCAGCTATCTACCATTCCACTGACTGAGAGGCTCCTGGCTCCCAGCTATCTACCATTCCACTGACGGATAGGCTCCTGGCTCCCAGCTATCTACCATTCCACTGACGGAGAGGCTCCTGGCTCCCAGCCATTCCACTGACGGAGAGGCTCCTGGCTCCCAGCCACCGTGTTTCCCCGAAAATAAGACTGTCTTATTTTATTTTTTTTGCACGAAATAAGACAGTCTTATTTTCGGGGGATGTCTTACCTGGCTGGGGGAGGAGTGGACGAGGTCCCGGAAGGCGGCGTGCTGTTGCCGGTCCCGGCGGATGTCGCTTCCATTGTGCGTGTGGGCGGGGCTGGAGCTGCGGGTG